TCCTAGCCTTAATCAAAGGCGATACTTCCTCTAACTCTACACTGTGTCATTTCTGTACAATTTGATGAACTACAACGTACCTCATCCTCACAGAGCAAGCGTGCGCCTGCTATTTTGCCCCACAAGTATAAAAAAACAAGGCCACACACACTGCTCCAGCAACTGCACAGCTGTCGAGTCTCAACAGGAGGTACCAGTGCTGAGCCCGTGTGACTTCAGCCCACATGCTCCATCCCAGATTTAGTTTACATTTGCAAAAAAAAGAAAAAAAAAAAAACACCCCAGCTATTCTTGCACATCCCAGATATCTCACTGTCTGACACAAAGTGTGTTTGTGAAAGCAAACCTTTTTATGTTGCCTCCACCTCGCATTACTGCAATTGCCACTTGCTGCATGACAGCCATTAAGGGCTTTGAGGGCCTGTAAAGATAAGTCCTCCAGCCAGTGCTAAGAGATGACCCTCAAGGTGATAGGTCAGTTCAAGTGGCATTGGCACAATCTGCACCACTTTTGGTTCCACTAAGCAGTGTGACATCACACGCAGCACACAGACATGTCGCACTGACCTATAATTACTGTAGCTTTCAAACAGAACACACTAACAAATGGGGTTAAGCCCTTCTGAATTATGCAGAAACAGTACATTCAAGAGTCTGCTGATACTGCTCAGTCCTGTAAACAAACAAAACTTTAAACGAGTTTAATATGAACAGTCATAAATATCAGTCTCTGAGTCTAATCTCCTTAGGTAACTAACACAGAAACATAAAAAGGGGCAGAGTGAGATAAGCAGAAATCCTTCTGTCTGTCAGGTGAATGTTTGATATACAGTATATCACAGAGGTGAGTACACCCCCTCACATTTTGTAAATATTTAAGTATATCTTTTCATGTGACAACACTGAAGAAATGACACTTGGCTACAATGTAAAGTAGTGAGTATACAGCTTGTCACATGAAAAGATATACTTAAATATTTACAAAATGTGAGGGGGTGTACTCACTTCTGTGATATACTGTAGTTAGCCAGCGGCCTGCATGTTCATATGGACACCGATCATGCATAACATTATGACCACCTGCCTAATACTGTTTACATAGGAGTCAGTGTGGCAGTTGGTTGGCGCTCATGTCTCTCTGCAGCTCACTGGGCATCTTCTGTGAATCCATTTGGTTCCACAGTTCTACTGTCAGGAAGAGCACAGATGTGTCTACAATTCAGTGAGAAACTTATGTAAAAGGAATGAAAACTGTGGTCGTGAGGACGAGTTAGAGAGAATTTTTTAGACCAATTCAACAGCCTCACCACTCTAGGTGTGATATCACCACTACAGCCCCTGACTCTTTCTCTTCATAGAGACCAGTGGACAGTGTTTCTCATTTTCAACCATTTTAACAAAGATTCAAATAAATTTTAATCTTTTGAAAAGTACAAATGGAAGTTAAAAGTTTAATCTACAGTAGATCAACCTCATCATCAGTGAGCCTTGGGCGTCCATGGCCCTGTCTCCAGTTCACCATTTGTCCTTCCCTAGACACTGTTGGTAGGTACTGACCACTGCAGACCAAGAACACCTACCAAGACCTGTAGTGTGGGAGATGATCTGACCCAGTCATCTCACCATCAGTTTGGCCCTTGTCAGAGTCACTCATCCTTACACTTGCCCATTTTTTCTGCTTCCAAAACATCAACTTTGAGGACTGAATGTTCACTTGCTGCCTAATATACCCCACACATTGACAGATGCCACTGTAACAGATAGTCAGTGTTATTCACTTCACCTGTCGGTGGTCATAATGTTATGCCTGAACGGTGTATGTAGAAACACAGTTAGTCAGTCAGTTCACTTCCCTCCCAAGTACCCACCTCCATCCACAGCCCTGCCAGTTGCAGGCGAAAGGCTTCTCTCCCGTGTGCCTCCTAAGGTGGGCCTTCAGGTGGCTGCTCTTGGTGTACATCTTGGTGCAGCCAGGAAAATTGCATTTGTGCATTTTGATAAGATCAGCCACTGAGTTCTTCGGAAACTTTTGACTTCCAACAAGAATCCCTGATCCCTGGTTGGCTGAGCTATCCCCGATGCCAAGAGGCTTGGCTGCAATAGGCACTGGAGCAATACGTACAAACTTGGGGGACACATTAAGGTTGGGGGAGGGCAGGACATGGGGCACCAGGGCAAAGGTCTGACCTTGGATGTTGACCAGCAGCTGTGCAATTTTGATGTCTGAGGCTGGGGGAGGGTATGGGATTTGGACTGCTGGGGTAAGAGGTGCTACTTTGGGCTCCTGTTTGATCTGAAGGGGCTGGATCTGTAGGATGACCGGCATCCCACTACTGTTAGTGCCACTGTCTGCTTCTGAAGGCTCTTTGGCTGATGCCTTCTTGTCTTCTGCGCTGGATTCAAGTGTGGGTTTAACTAATGTAGCTTTGGTCTCACTGCAGGCAACAGTGACCAGGCCAGCAGTGCTGTCACTGGGAACAGTTTGGTCTGAATACTCAACTTCTGGCTCTGACTTAGGCTCAGAGGACACATCCCTGCACCACTCAAGACCAACTTCTACACCAAGAGCTTCATCCAGTCCCACTCCCAACCCTGGGCAACCTTCTCTGATCCCCTGCTTCATTGTCACCACCTCCATATTTTCCTCCAGGAATTCTTCAATCTCTTCCAGAGTGGGTTGGAAGGATCCTCCAAGTTTCTCCGTCTCCTCATTGGACCAAGTGAAGAAATCAAAATTTTCCTCCTTTATAGGCTCACGTTTGGATGGCTCATCTCTCCGTAAGTCCCAGAGAAAAGGGGATAATGGTATTGGTGCCACAGACTCTGCAGGATCACTGCTGACTCCTCCTAAAGAGGCCTGAGACAGCAGGTGGTCCAGGATGCTATCCTGGCTCTCAGCACTGGAACTGCTGCTATAGCTGGAACTGAGCACCTGGGAGTCTGGGCTGGAGCAGGAACGAGGGCTGTACGACTCGCTCAGGTCATCCTCTGAAAATGGTGACTGCAGTACATGGTAGGAACCCAGATCTGTCACCATGTCAGACAGCCGGTAGGCCGGTGGAGAACCACTATAAGGAAGAAACGGCTCCTTGCTCACTGGAGAGTTATCTACCATCCCTGGCTTGTGCCAAACCACTGTCTCTTGTTGAACTCAGTTTGTGTTTAGAATGATTTATGAGAGAATTATTCTGTGTGGAGCTGGGAAAGTCAGACAAATAAACCCAGGTCACCAAGGCCATACATCCCATTCGGGTGTGACAGTGAAACACCTGGCATTCTCTCTCAGAGTGGACAAAGTAAGCGTTGGGGAAACACTCTCACAATCCAGGGTCTTCAGCCAGAATATAATAGATCTAAATAGAAGTAAACAGAAACAGTGAGAAGTTTGTTCATGTTAATCCCACACTCAAGTTCAATGCAACAAGGTCTGACTTAAAATAAAAACAGCATATCCACATCCTCTAATCTGTCAGTTTATATAATATGCTAATCACAGCCTACGGGTGCAAATTCTAAAATCCATCAGTAGTGTCTTAGACCTGCAATTTAATAGTCATTTAAAAACATACACATCATAATATCACTGATGAAGTACAGTGAAAATGTTACTTCATTTATTACAGGACACAAATAAAGTTACTAGGCCAAGTATCACTTAGAAAGTGTCCCTGCCCACTGTTTCCTAACCTTTTTGCTTGACCCAAGTAATTCCTATTCATGACCCCTCATCACAAAAATGTATGAGTTATACACAGTTCATCCAAGGGCCAGTGTTCCCTTCTCAAAATGATTCCCTTTAATAGTTTTTCGATTCCTAAAACTTATCTTGTATTTCAAAAGTAAAGAGCAAATATGTGAGAAAAATATTAATAACTAAGCTGGAGGGTTCATTCGTGACCTTGAAGACAGCACTTTGACAAATGTCATCTGCCTGCAGATAAAGGCAATGAGATGCAGCTCAAAGCCCCAACATAAATCTAGCATGTGGACCTTGAGTTAAGAATATTTGGTCAACCTTTTCTGTGTTATGTCTGTGTGGGTGTTAAACTGTCTGCTAAATGGAGGGCTAGAGAATCTTTATGTCGTCCAGCAACAGTGTTTTGTACACAGTGTGCACAGCTTGCTCACAGGTGTAGTTTGCAGGTAAGACATAGTCCCCTTAGATGAATGTTTGATACACTGTAAACCACTGTGCTGATGATAAACATGTTGGGTGTTCTAAATGATCTGAGTTTCTCTTTGCTCACACATTCACTTGTCTTGTGGTTGTCACTAAACTGTGTTGCTGTGAATCGCCCAGGTTATCATTGTGTTGTTGGTTTAAAGCCACACACTCTCGGGACATGTCTGTCCACCAGAGCCTATAATATGTCTGTAGCGCACGTTCTTCTCGATCTGTTTGTGTGTGTTTTGTGAATATCCGATATGCAGAAAATCTTTAAGGATTATGTTTATATTGTTTAACTTGATTAAGTTTTTTAAAGAGCCCATGACCTGCTTTTCCCTGTTTTCTGACTTATCTACAATGTTAGAATGGTGAATTATCATCTTAGATGTGACCTAAAGCTCAAAAAATGAGGTGGATGTATGTTCTAGTACTTTTATGCAGAAGCATTTCGGTTTATACAAGCCTTTTTTTCTAACAATATAAAGTCATAGCTTAAGGATTTCCTTGAATGGCCATAATCTCCAAGCAGTTGCATGCTCATATGAGCTTGCCTGACATCCACCGGTGCCACTGTAAAAGCGGAATCTTTCAACGGCTCCCGTTTTTATGGATATATTTTACCTCCGGCTGCTGTACTGTGACCAGAGGATGTGGAGAAAAATACAGGGCCTGAGGTTACTGCATGTCTGGGAATGTTCCTGTACAGGGACTCACTGTTTTACCCGACCGGGTCTAACCTACAAGTAGCCGGCCTGTGAAGCCCCCACAGTGGTGAATGATCAGCTCATCAATGCTGGATTCCTCCGGAGCACAGTAGATGTTTGTTTTGACTGTTTGAGACAATGTGTCTGTGTGCTGTGATGTGTTGCTGGTTAAAGAGTGGATTAACGACCCATGATGTTATTGTCGGTGCTACGCTACCTGATGGAATTAATTTCACTACTTTGGGACTGTATGTGGCCGTGTGGGGGAAGATGCAGTGACCGGTTGGATTTACTGACCTTGGAGCTACTTGAAAGGGAGTGATGTTTCCACTAATTGGTGGGACTTAACGGTAAGTTTTAAAAAAAAAGAAAAACATGTTGCATGTCTCTTAATGCCTTGTTTCTGTAACGTTAGAGAGAATTGTTGTAAGGCTGGAGAAGTTACTGTGTCTGCATATGGAGTTTCTCAATTACCCACTTTGTTTAGAGTGTTACACATCTCTTTTCATCAGTATATGTACCGTTGTTTATCTATCTATGGAGGGGAAATTCATATTAATTAATGCTATTGTGGTTTGTCGTGCTGTTCACTTTCATATTCTGACTCAAACATGTCAGGTAGGATCTGAGGTACTGTCATTGTCAAAAATGTATCTTATTTGTTAAAGGTTTTTGTTTATGTATTGTCTCTTGCTTCCTGACCGGTCTTGTGTAGAAATGTGTTCCCCCGTCGAGATGTGTTTCCCCTGTTCAAAACTGGGTGTAGCGCCTCCCTCAGTGGTTGTGGTTAGGACAATGTTAGGGGGAGCACATCTCAACTGGGAAATTGATTTCAACACAACACTGGCAGCAGAAGAATTGCACATTCATGAATTTTTCTCTTGTTTTCAGGAAGAGGTTCTCAGGTTTTATCATTCTGAAATAATTCCAAATTATTTGGAGTTATGAGGGCTGCAAAGCCACGGGCACTTTAAATGTTACTTTTTATGATGTTTTAGCCAATGTTTATAACTAACAACAGTAGGCTACCATTTATGTATGTAAACCAAAATGAAAGTAGGCTTACGTGGCTCTATTTTATCATGTTTTTCAGATGTCCTACTACAAACTTCATAAATAGGTTGTTTTCCTGGAACAGGGAGCTCCGATCATAATCGCTCCTCCCCTCCTCCCTCCTCCCATCTCTGTCTGCCCTGCCTGTCCAGGGGCCCCTGCATGGCCTGACCGAAAGTACACTCAGCCAGAGAGAGAGAGAGAGAGAACTGTCAACATAATTATCAGACACCACCGCATGGGGCATCCGGCAGCAGAGTGCGCTATTTCGCTGCATCCTTAAATCACCTGTTCTGCTTATTTACAATTAAAGAACATTACATCTGTAACACTGCTGCTTGTGAAGCCGGGAAGTCGATTACAGTAGCTTTCCCTCATTGGACACAGGATTCCTTTTGGCGCATTATTGATGCCTCTTGTGCCCTCAGCGGGGCACAGGAGGCGGGGCACAATTTCTATTCACTGCACATGTTGATAAAGAGAAAAGCCTGGACATCATCTCTTAATTACTGGGCGCCTTTTTATAGGCCTAGCTACTACCAGAGTCTAACGTTTGTAAATCAGACCTATAACTCTGAAAAATGCACCATAATAATAATGATTAGGCAGACTTCTCCTTAAATCCGCAGCTGCAAATAGGAGACCAAAATTCAGAATTGATTCACTGAGGCTACACTGTGTAAGAGCAAAATCCGAACCCCATAGTAGTCCACGATACAGGACTGTGCCGTGATTCCTCTCCGCGGTGCATTACGCAGGAGTAGGCGCGAGTGTCCGCTCTCAACGTAAACATGTTTTCTCCAGCCTGCGGCACCAAGCAGGGACACGCGCACTCTGCACCAGTGTACCTTTTCGTATTAAAATAAACCCCCAGACTTACCTTGTTTACTCGGAATAATTATATTCCCAATGCAAACGGCGCGGGGACGACAGTTTTTATCCGCTGCATCCGACTGGTGAGTCTGTTTCCAGAGCAGGATTTACCCTTGAGACTCACCATAGAGCAGTAACAGCAGAATTGAGACGGGACTGAGCGTTCCCTGAGTTGTAGCCTACTATATGATAGTCACATGACTGCCCGTGTGTGTTACACGGTTACTGTAGTGAGAAGTAAGAGGCTGCTGATGAAGGCTCGTCCCAGCTCTGCCGCCTCATTGGTCGGCTGTGGTGAGATGGAGGCGGGTCGTACGGTCTGTCAGTCAGAGGTTGTGCTGAGTGGAACAACATGTGGGGCACCTCAGCGGAGGATAGGAAGCAGAGCTTTAGCTGTTATCATGCCCATTAACAACCACAGTGGGTGTTGTAAAAGTGGATCGGTTGTACTGGGCATAACGGACGAAAGCACACTGTAAAACATCATACAGGAATTTAGTGGAAACAACTCATCTGCTGATCTGTTGCTAATTTCAAGCTGTTTCAACTTAGAATGTCAAGATTATAAACAGCACTTGTTCTGATTTGAAGTCATTTGACTTGGAATGAGTTGAACGATTGAACCGAGAGTTCACTTAACTCATTCAGTCAAGTTTTTAAAGAAACAAAATGTCCTGCATTCTTTGAGTTAAAACTCTCCAGACTCTTCTTTTTTGTATTTTGAAGAACCATGGTGGAATCATGTTGGAAACCTGTGCATGTCTTTAATAGTCTACATACACAATAGAAATACAAAGTCACTAGGAACAGCCTCTTAAACTTTCATGTAGGTGTTTAGTGTTTTGACTTCATGAGCAGTGGGACAGTAAGTCACACAACTGGGAACATGTCAAAGATAACACAACAGAGTCCAGTCCTTACTGTGTTTACATGGATGTGAGTATCCTGTTATGATAGGGTGTTTGAAGTATCCTGAATTTGTGTTTGTGCAAGTCAACACCATATCCCAATTAGCTCTGTTGATGACTAGCTAAGTTATGAATACAATCTGATAGCTGATGGCCTGGACCTTGTCTCTGTTAAATGCAAGGTAGGTATAACCCTATCAAGCAATTGTACCAATGCAGTTACTATTAGTTGTAACATTAAAAACAAACTCTGTCTTACTAGACCATGAGGGGGTTTATGGGTGTGTTTTTAAGGACCAATTTCCATGCACATTTTCAACTGACAGAAAAAAAATGAGTGGAAATGCCAGAAATCTAAATCTAAATCTTAAACATAAAAAAATGTACTTTTACACTTTGCTGAGGTGGAAAAGTTGCTGTATCCATAAAGGTAAAATCCAATAAAGTGCAATGGAACTAGACCTTACAAATAAGCTATGACTTATGTGAAACATGTGACATAAATACCCACTGAAGAGATGAAACATAGTTCTTTAGTTTGAACCTATTTTCCATCTCAGTGGTTCCCCAACCTTCTTTTGCCAGTTATACTGTATTTAGCCGCTGCCACTCTGGACCCTCCATGAGACCCACCCTCAACTTTGGGAACCTCTGTTCTTACTTATTGTAGGCTGATAGAGGACTATTAAAGAGCTCATGGCATGGTTTTCCTTGTTTTATGATTTATCTAATGGTGAATTATCATTTTAGATGTGACCTAAAGCTCAAAAAATGAGGTGTACTTCTAGTATGTGTTCTAGTATTTCTGTGCAGAAGCAGCTTGGTTTATGCATGTCTCCAGGCTGGTGTGCACTCATGTGAGCTTGCCTGACATCCATTAGTAAAAGTGGAATTTTTCGACTGCACCGGTTTTGTGGATATATTTTACCTCCGGCTGCTGCACTGTGACCACAGGATGTGGAGAAAAATACAGGGCCTGAGGTTACTGCAGATTACTGCAATCTAATCTGTTATTAAAGAGTTTTTCCAGAATTTTTGAAAATTGTGACAACAGAGAAACCGGTCTATAATTTGTGAAGTTGTGCTTATCACCAGATTTATACAGTGGAATAACCTTTGCTATTTTCATATTATTGGGGAACTGCCCAAGTCGAAACAACATGTTAAAAACATGGGTTAATGGTTTGCATATCCCCTCAATTG